TCCTTCGCCTCTTGGCTCTTATTACTATTTAATATGCTGTGGCATATATAATATTCTTTACCCCCCCCCCCCGGTACAACTTCGCTTACAGTGAGTAGTGAGGAAATCCTTCGCCGGCTAGTAATGCCTTCTGAATCTAGAGTGCAATGTTCAGCGTGTACCAAAGGAGATTCTGCTGCTATAAAAAGAACTTCAGCTGTTAGAACGTGTCTGCTTACAAGAGGATTGAAATGCAACTGTTAATTAGCAAATAACTTGCTCCCGCAGCATTTGAAGTCTCCTGTGTGTGTGTGAAAACTTGTCCCCTCCTCCCTACTCTCCTCTTTTTGAACAAAACAAACAAACAAACAAATCTACACACTTCAACATGAGTTGAAGCAGGTCCCACAAATAACCCAGAGATGCATTTTAAATACAAGGGTACATTCTACTCATGTAAAAACACGCTGATTCCTGGACCGTCCATGGGCCGGATTGAGAAGGCGATTGGGCCGGATCCGGCCCCCAAGCCTTAGTTTCCCTACCCATGACATAAAGCCTCAGGGTAAATCCATAGGGGGGGGTCTTATTCAAGGGGAGGTTTTAGAACTGCAGTGGGCGGGGAAAGAGAAAGTTTAACTCTTTCCTCCCTGGTGTGGTCCTGCTTAAAATCTGACTCCCCCCCCCCCACGCTGCTAATTACATCAGGAGGGAAGTTCCACCAGAGGTCAAAGGAGTTGCTTCCACACTTGTCCTTTTCTCTGGAATTCCTATAATTTGCTCATTCAGGCCTGCTAGACGAACATCACTGCCAGACTGTCGCATTATGATTATTTTTGTCCTCCCATCTATTTGAAGACCTGGGCTGTGTACCTGCAATGCCACCAAAGCATTCAGAACGCATTCTTTCCCTCAGTGAATCCTGAGCTCTGTAGTTTTACCCCACACAGAGCTATAATTCCCAGCTACCCTTAGCAAACTGCAAATACTGACCGGCAAATTCATGTCGTGCTGCTACAGCGGTCATGCACACCAAACCAACTTCCCCCAAAGTCTGGATTTTTCGGAATAAGGAAAGGGATGGGAGAAATGTACAGGAAGGTGTGCCATTAAACTAGCTCAGTACTGTTTACATTGACATGTAGTGACAGAGGTGAATTTACCTGTGTAGAAAATAATAATAATAGAGGTCTCTGGGCATCTGATGGGGGGTTTGGCCCAACCAAATTCGATTCAACTTCATTAATCCATTCATCTTCACAAAAGTTTGCACCTTGTTTGCTACTGATAAGTACAGAATGAGGTTGCTTTTTCCATAAAAGCAATAGAGACATACCCCATCAGGCTATAGACTGACTTGGTTTCACTCGATATCCATCACAGGTGACTTAAAACATCCTGAGATGCATCATGCTAAAGCCTGGAAATGTAAGCATCTTTGACCTAAAAAAGTCAATGGTTCCACTAGGATATCGTTCATAAGGATGGCCTGTGCTTATGTCTCTGTTCCGGCTGTCAATGTATCCTTCACAGAACATACATTTTGGAACCCATCTCCAAATGACTCACAAAACATGATGCATAGTGAAAATTGGGCACCCTATTTAACTGAAGGGTGTGTTCAGGCTGAAAGAGGGTGTAAGCTGAGGTGCTTCACTTTGGCTTTTTGCACTAAAACAGCTGTCCTTGGGAGATATTATCTGCGAGATAAACTGTGGGTGGCACACGAGCTTTTCGCCTCCAGAGACACTGAGTTCAAATTTCAGCTCAGGTTGCTCAAGTGAAAATGTGCTTGATGGTCTTGTTTCCCCAAGTGCAAAAAAATCACTCGGCGCTCTGTCACAATTCAGCAAATTGGCAGGCGCTCCGAGAGAGGGACTGATGCCTGGAATGGCAAGAGGTTGCAGTAGGTCAGGACTGAAGCAAGCATGTGGAATTGGAAATGAGAGGCTTCAACATGCTACCAGCCCATGCAGAATTCTAGAGAGCTGGAGTTTTTGACCTTGTTCCTTTGGATGAAGTATCAAGCCACTTTCAGAAACAAAACAAATTAGTTTAAATGTTAAATAGTTTTAGGTTGATCAATCAAATCATTGACACGGGTGGTGCTGTGGGTTAAACCACAGAGCCTAGGACTTGCTGATCAGAAGGTTGGCGGTTCGAATCCCCACAATGGAGTGAGCTCCCATTGCTTGGTCCCAGCTCCTGCCAACCTAGCAGTTCGAAAGCACATCAAAGTGCAAGTAGATAAATAGGTACCGCTCCAGTGGGAAGGTAAACGGCATTCCCGTGTGCTGCTCTGGTTCACCAGAAGCAGCTTAGTCATGCTGGCCACATGACCCGGAAGCTGTACGCCGGCTCCCTTGGCCGATAAAGCGAGATGAGCGCTGAAACCCCAGAGTCGGTCACGACTGGATTTTGAGCAGACATGCACAGGATTGTGCTGTAATCTGATATAACAAGACTTTGAACCAATTGACTGAATTTAAACAAATTTGCACAATGTCAACACCCCGACAGGACAGGTTCCCCAGGGAGTAGGGAATGTCGGTATCAGCAGAATCAAGGAATGACAGTGGTGCAGGGAGGTTAATTTCGGACTCTTGAAGTTAAATGGAATCTCCATGCTTAGAGCATGTTGGCCATGTGTCCTGCCTTACAGAGGGTAGTCCTCTGTTTGAAGGAGTCCTCTGTTTGAAGGGCTATCCAATCCAAAGATCAAGAACAGGGGTCAGCAAACTTTTTCAGCAGGGGGCCGGACCACTGTCCCTCAGACCTTGTGGGGGGCCGGACTATATTGGGGGGGGGGAATGAACAAATTCCTATGCCCCACAAATAACCCGGAGATGCATTTTAAATAAAAGCACACATTCTACTCATGTAAAAACACCAGGCAGGCCCCACAAATAACCCAGAGATGCATTTTAAATAAAAGGACACATTCTACTCATGTAAAAACACTCTGATTCCTGGACCATCCGCGGGCCAGATTTAGAAGTTGATTGGGTCAGATCTGGCTCCCAAGCCTTAGTTTGCCTACCCATGATCAAGAACCATAAGAAAGGAGAGCAGCACAGTCTTCCCGGCTATAGTGAGACGTACTGTATTTCCATCTAAACTTGCGTATAAGACGAACATATGCAAATGTTACCCAAATGCTCTCTTGTCCTCTTTTTGAAGGTGCATTTCCTCTGCTTTGGGGTTGATGAGTGTTCTCACCCCTAGTTCAGAGGCTGATTGCCCCTGGACCCTAGGTGCCTGGGACAATCACCATGGGATGGTTGTCAACTTCATGCCCAGCCTGTGAGCTTCCTAGAGGCATTTGGTGATTCTTCAGCCAGAGACATGGGGTGAAGGCCATGGGAGTGCTGATCATATTTTTTGGAGGAGAAATAGAAGGTTCTTTTCATTCTTATTCCTGCTTCATTCCACCGGAAGGAAGGAAGGAAGGAAGGAAGGAAGGAAGGAAGGAAGGAAGGAGTAAACTGTGAAGCCCCATGTAACAAGGTAATCTTTCAGTTTTTGTATATTCTTGTTTTAATTCTTGTTTGTACTTCACATCTAGGTGCCAAGCAGTTAGTGCTCTTCCTCCTGTTTGGCACCCAGTTAGCTTTTACTGCACATGGGGGGGGGGGGGAGAGAAACTCTTAAGGAGGTTAATGCTAAGCCAAGTATTAAAGCTGTCTGTATTTCAAGCATCATGTGCAATTGTGCCTGGAGAAAATTGTAATGGTTGTGAAGTGACACTGAGAGTTACACAGGGAATCAGCCTGGCCCATAAGGTCTTGTTTATTCCTTTAGCATCATAGAGCTGAATGGTACCCACACTGGATTATACCATCCAATTTCCAGGCCCCAAACAGAATATAATGTACTAATAGCATCTCTGAGAAGCAGTTGGGCTATACAAATCAATGGAGGACACATTTATCAATAGGTATTAGTCAGCGAGCATGGATGAGATTCATCCCAGCCTAGCCCAGCCAGCTGTCATTTCTGTCATTGATCCAGTATGTTAGATGTCCAGAAATTAACCTGGATCTCCTGGTTTGTGGTTTTGTATGTGATAAGTATGCGATAAATATTATGGATTGTGATGCGAATGGAACGATCACAGACACCTTGGCTGTCACAGCCTTAACAGGAGATGTCACTGCTAGAATGTTTCTGGGTTCTTTTAAAAATAAATAAATTTGGATTGTATAGGGACAGCTACCAAAATCACTCGAGTTTTACTGTTTTGCCAATGTTGGGCTCCGTTTCTGGTCTTCTTCCAATTCACTCTTCATATTTCCAAGCTTTTATTGGCACCTGTGAGGACGTCAAATTTAAACAACAACAACAACAACAGAAAGCAGAAATCTTACATGGGGATAATGACAAAAAACAACAGCAGAAATCTGGTACTGGAGGTGAAAACTCCTGGAGGAGTTTGAAAGACCTATTGAACATGACAGTTTTACATGTGCAGCCTCTGCTTGTGGTTCCCTTTCTGTGCTGAATCACAGAAATCACACAGGGCGACTCATCTGCATTCTTATTTGCCATTTGAAAGCAAACAACAGCACAATGTGTCAGTGTTCAGTGGCTGATTCTATTCATGTAAATAGCTCCATTTTAGCCAACAGAGAGAGCCCTCTGCCGTCTCTTCCCATTCATCCATTATCAGCTGAGCGATTCGTTTTTATTTACTTTTCAGTTTTGCCGAACTCCCCTTTTTTTCCCTTGCTCTTTTGGCGGAGTTAAAAGCATCTAATAACGAATGTTTATTTCCCGAAGTAGTGTTGCCACTTAGAATTTTGGGCTGCCTAGGGTGGAGAAACTAATTTTGCAGTTGTCGTTTTCCTTTCCAGCACGAGAAATGCAGCAAGCTGGATAAGGTCAGGGAAAGAAAGAAAGAAAGAAAGAAAGAAAGAAAGAAAGAAAGAAAGAAAGAAAGAAAGAAAGAAAGAAAGATGCAAGTCAGTGGCCAGCTGTAGCTTTAAGGGATCCACCTTAAGGAAATCCACCTCCTCCCGCCGCCGCTCTGGAGTGGGCAGCGTCACCGGGGATGGCAGAGATCAACTAATAAATGTGCAGCTGGAGGAATCCGGAGGAGGCACCACGCGAAGCCCCGCGCGGATCTGCAGAGCTGCTCCCAGGTAGAGGCGACCGGCTGGTCTCCAGCTCCTTCCTTGTCACCTGTCTAGCTGCACTAACCTCCTTCTGTCCTACCTTGCAACTGACTGCATGTTAATCTCTGGGTCGTGGGTTTGTGATAGGAATTTTATGGTTTTAGATATATAGTAATGTTCATAACTGCACATACATAGATCAGCACAGGAAAGCCAACCTGGAACCATTTTGATTCCTAAACTGACCAAATCCTTTCTCTGCAAGGTTAAAAATGGAAAAGCCTCCCCATTGTCTCTTCCTTTAATCTGTGTTTGAATAAGGTGTGAGCCTGTGACCTGGCCCAGGAAATAAGTATTTTAGCATTACAAAAGAATGGCCAGGCTCCCCAGAAAATCCAATCAAGTAACCTGCTAGACAGGAGATAAACAAGGAGAAGAGAAAAACAACATTTAAATTTCTGTGATGTAGGTGGGATGTATCGGAGGGGTGGTCTTAGGTTACACCCCTTCTGTGATGTATGTGTAATGTTTCTGGGGGTGATCTAGAGAATGGGAATTTCAAGTCTTTATAAGGTCTTGCACACCATCTTTCTGGGTCCTCTTCCTCTCCTGCGTGTGAGGGGAGTACCCTGTTGCAACAGATCAATAAAGATCAAGCTTACTAGCTGCTTTGCTTCTCAATATTCTCTGGTTGGCCTCTGTTATTTTCTCCTACCAATAGGGAACCTATGTAAGGACTCTATATGGGCTCTTGGATACCCCATAAGGGAAAAGGGCATATATATTTTATTTACAACAGGTTCGAGCCCCAAGCTGGGCAAAAAGATTCCAGCCTTGCCGGGGGTTGGACTAGATGACCCCGGGGGTCCCTTCCAACTCTACAATTCTAGGATTGCTCCTCTCCTCTCTGAGAGTTGCCCCTCATTTCTTCTCACCCCCCACTCCACGCTCGCTTTCCTTACTGAGGCTGCTGTCCTGTTGTCTGCGTTTCTTGCTTGCGCCTGTTGGGCTATTAATCAAACGGATGTGCCAGATGGGATTTGCTGCAGGCCGTTTGCTCACTAATCACACCGGATCAGCCTTTTCTTTATTATTCTTCCTCCTCTGCTACCCCACCTTTCTGGTTTGCAAACCACAAGGGTGACCCGCCACCCAGCCAGAGCTGCTAATACAGCCCAGAGTCCACCGGCTTCTTCCACCGCATGGCTCCCATATCTAAAGCCACATTATATATATTTATCATTCTCTCCCCCACCTTCCGCCTCCTTTACCCCTCACATAAGCTGCTGGTTAAGAGACATGGGTGCAAAAAGGCTCAGGCCAGTCTCTTGCGGCTTGTCAAACCACTAATGTATGTACTGTAGTTTCCTTTCCTTTATTTTTTAAGCGGAAAGCCCTTGTTCAGTTCAGATTAAAATAAGGATTACAATATTCTGTAGAAAAGCACTCTGAAACTATTGATGACTCAGCATGGCCTTTGTGACTGGACAATTAGATGACACACAGACAACCTGCATATATTTACTCAGAAATCCAGCCTGCCAGTCAGGCTTACTCCCAAGTAAGTGTGCACAGAATTGCCATTTTAAAACACTTTTAAACAATTAGTTGTGCTGCACTGGTTTCTTTGCAGTTCAGCCGGATGATATGTTTGCCCCTCCCCCACCATGTCACAACTCAGATTTCAAAGTTCAAACAATACGCTTAATAGACATCTCCGCAGAACTGATACTCAAACCGAGAAGTAGGATATTGACAGTAGTTCTACAGATTTACTTCTAAACTTTAAAGTTCACCTCTAGCTGACAACTCTTGATTCTCAGAATAATGTCCTCTTGCTGTAATAAGATATTCATTCAAAACAAAAAAGTTTGCATGAAGTTTCACACAAAAGGAGAATAAATATAAATACCGGTACTAAACATTTCACACTTTGTTACATCTCTTTTCTGGATATTTGAATGTACCATTCTATTTTATTTACTTACATAAAAAGTTATAGCCACCTTTTCTAATACACTTTTGTTACATGATGCAGATTATAGCAATTAAAACCGTAATTTAAGAGCCACAAATTAAATATATAACAGCAATAAGAAGGAAATTGACAAGAAAAACAACATCAGGCTATTGTTTGAAAAGGCCCTCCCTGCTAGATCATAAAGCGTATGGGAGGAAGAGGTCCCTCTGGAAACTTAGACCCAACTCCTTTAGGGATTTACAGATAAAGAATTTTGCCTGGAAACAAATGGCAAACCATGCAGCTGTTGTAGGCCAGATGTAATGTGATCCTATGGGCAAGTGCCCATGAACATCCTTGCTGCTGCATTCTGAGGGTTTTGAAGCCTCTTCAAAGGTTGGTCCATGGCAGCGACCAAGTCCAGCTGCAACTAAGACATGTTTGTTTCCATGACCAGATCTGACTTCAACAGTAACAGCCTGCACACTGGTCAAAGCTGGGCTGAGACACTCTTGACCAGGCTTCCTCAACCTCTGCCCTCCAGATGTTTTTGGCCTACAACTCCCATGATCCATAGCTAGCAGGACTGGTGGTCAGGGATGATGGGAATTGTAGTCTCAAAACATCTGGAGGGCCGAGGTTGAGGAAGCCTGCTCTTGACCATTGGCACATGGGACCTAAGGACGAGGCTGAGTCCAGGAAAACCGACAATCTGTGGACCTGATTCATCAGGGGGAATACCACCCCATCGAGAACTGGTTGGACCCCTGTTCTGGAGTCCATCACTTTCCTGAGCTAAAGCACCCCTGTCTTGTTTTGGTTAAGTCTCAGTTTATTACCCCTTACCCAGCCCATATAACTGATTGCACATAAATAATAAAATTGTGGTGATTAAGCCAACAGCTTCCTTGGTATTAAAGGTAAAGGAGCTGCAGGTCATCAGCATATTGATAACAATGCACTCCGGATCCTGAGACAATCTCTCCCAGTTGTCCCTGGGGTGGGCCACCTGCAATCCTAAATCCACATTATTGCTCCTTGGCATAATTTCAGAAGCCCCCTGCAAGTCCTCAGGCCAGGCCTCTGGCAAGAGCAGTAGGTCCCTTCCCCCAGGAGCCAGCTGGCTGGGGAAGGCTAAGGCAAGAGAGAAAAGGGTTGGCTTTTGGACCCACCCACTTAAACCCCTCTGCCCCCACGCGCAGAGGAAATTTAGTCATCAGCACGTGGTTGATGGCATCATGTGCCTCTGAAAGGTATATAGTCCAGGTGCAGGGAACCTCTAGCAATCCATGGGTAGGCAAACTAAGGCCCAATTGCCTTCTAAATCTGGCCAGCGGACGGTCCAGGAATCAGCGTGTTTTTACATGAGTAGAAAGTGTCCTTTTATTTAAAATGCATCTCTGGGTTATTTGTGGAGCATAGGAATTCATTCATTTCCACCCCCAAAATATAGTCCAGCGTCCCACAAGGTCTGAGGGACAGTGGACCGGCCCCCTGCTGAAAAAGTTTGCTGACCCCTGAACTATACAGTACAAGCAATGAATAAGTCACTCTCACCCTATTTTTCTCAGGCTTAGTAACAAAGCAAAAAAAGCTTCTCTTACGGCACATTGGAGCGACCAGCCCAACCCAACCTTGCCTCTTTAGTAGCTGAGTTACATGCTGGCACCGTGCAGAAATGCTTTCCAGTTTTTTGTGGCGCTAATGAGTCTCAATTTAGCAGCCTAAAACTGCTGACCTCTTAAACAGCTGCTGTTGGATTTTATTCTGAGGAAAACGTTTTGTTTTCAAATGGTCAGCTTGGCTGTGAAATCCAAAATTCAACAGGCAAAAGTGGGGTGGGGGTGGTGTTTGTGTTGGTGGGGGGTATCCATCAAGGGAGGGCACCTATATTCCAGGCCTAAATTGGCTTGCAAGTTCCTCTGTAGCCCCAGAGAACCCTGGGAACTGTGGTCTCTGGGGATGATCTCTAACAAAATTCCCAGCAGCCTTGCCAAACTAGAACCAGGATTCTTTGAAGAATTAAGCAGTTACATAAGTGGTGTGTGTGTGTGTGTGTGTGTGTGTGTGTGTGAGAGAGAGAGAGAGAGAGAGAGAGAGAGAGAGAGATGTGTGTGTGTATATGCCTCGTGTGGGGACGCAGGGGACGCTGTGGGTTAAACCACAGAGCCTAGGACTTGCCGATCAGAAGGTCGGCGGTTCAAATCCCCGCAATGGGGTGAGCTCCCGTTGTTTGGTCCCAGCTCCTGCCAACCTAGCAGTTCGAAAGCACGTCAAAGTGCAAGTAGATAAATAGGTACCGCTCCAGCGGGAAGGTAAATGGCATTTCCGTGCGCTGCTCTGGTTCACCAGAAGCGGCTTAGTCATGCTAGCCACATGACCCGGAAGCTGTACGCCGGCTCCCTCGGCCAATAAAGCGAGATGAGCGCCGCAACCCCAGAGTCGGCCACGACTGGACCTAATGGTCAGGGGTTCTTTTACCTTTACCTCTGTCTTGTGTTGGCAACTTTTGGCCGTCCAAATGTTGAACTACAGCTCCCATCATTTCAGGCCGTTGCCCATGCTTGATGAGGCTGATGGGAGTTGCAGTTCAGCAACAACTAGAGGTCCAGATGTTCCCCACACCTGAATTATAAAATTGTAGGCCTCAATTCTATCGTGTCTGGGAAGTTGTCCCAGGGGCCAGAGGAATTTTTGTTGCAAAGCTCTGTCTCCATTGATAGTGGGAAGTTCCCTTTCGGACACCTCGTGCTTGTCTCTGTGGTCAGGTCCATTGTTGTTGCTCCTCTGCTGTTGGTGAGCTGGTGGAGAAGGTAAAAAGCCAGTATTCTGGGTTCATGTTGGTGGTGGGCTCAAAACCCTCCTATTTTCATGGCAATGGGAAGAAATGGACATGGACCTTGGGACCAATGTACTATTTTTCCTCTCAGTGTGAGGAAAATGGCTGCTGGGATAGCTCAGCTGGAAAACTCTTAATCTCAGGGTTGTGGGTTCGAGTCCCATGTTGGGCAAAAGATACCTGCATTGCAGGAAGTTGAACTAGATGACCCCTGAGGTGCCTTCCAAC